CTCTCTCTCTCTCTCTCTCTCTCTCTCTCTCTCTCTCTCTCTCTCTCTCCCCCTCCCTCTCTCTCTCCCCCATTCCTCTAGGAGCCAAAGGTAATGGTCTGGGGGGACGGGGGGGGGGGAGAGAGAGAATCCTCTCATTTTATCCTCACAAGAATTCAGTGAGGTGGGCTAGGATGAGAGAAATTACAGTAACTGGCACAGAGATACCCAGAGAACTTTGCATTGTTGGATGGGGACTTGGACCTCTTCTCCTTCCCCCTTGTGAACTCCTTATTACTGCACCATGCTGGCTGTTAACCTAGACATTAAATCTAGATCACCCTCTGTATGTGTAAGCATATGGCATTATTGTGAAGCTCAGCCATACCTAGTGTGGGCCTATGGGGGGTGGTGGTGGTGGTATCTTGACTAAAGAATCCATTTGGTTCTAGAAGACTACATAAGAGAAACAGGACAAGTTGTAATTGGCATAACTGATGATGCTGATTTAGAGTTCATGACTTGTATTTCTTCTGCTCCAGTAAAATTAATATGAGTTGCCCTCTGAAGAATCAGCAAATACAAACTTTCTCATATACAGGTCTCCCCCCCTCCCCAAAAAAGCCCCTGGAAGGCCAACTTAAACTGACCAATCTAAAGTCTTGATGGGCATTTCTTCTATGGGACTCCTTGTTCTATGGACACTAGTTAATCTGCTATCCCCTAATTCAGTTATAGTGACCAGGAGTTCCCCACCCCAAAAAACAACCTTTTATTCATCCAGGAACCAAACTCAGGATTTTAGAACATGCCTTGTTTGTGGGTTGGTTCAGGGGGGAGGGAATTGCAATTTGTTTCCCACTAAACAAGATTCAATATTCAGGAGTTTTAAAAATGTCTCAGCCTCCTTTGAAATAAGTTACATTTGCTGTGATCAAGCATTTTTCTTTGCTCAAAATGTCCCTCTTATGATTCTTGCCTAGACAACTGTCAACAGAAGCTCAAATTTTCCTCGTTTTATTTATGGCTCAGTTAGTCATAAATGATGACCTCATGGGCTGCGTCCTTTAAAAGGTGGTCGATGGGGTTGTGATTTAGTATATTGCCAGAGGGAAGTCATTAAGATTGCAGATGAGGTAAGAAGATGCACAAAAAGTGGTTTACAAAGTAACCCGATGCCTATTTTCTGTAATCTCGACTTCTAGACAAGATGCTCTCAAGGAAAGATGAAGGCACAGAGAAGGTTAATACCGAATGCATCCGCTGGGGAATTGAAAGGAAGGCATCGCAATTTGAGAAGCCTCTCGAATCATGAAATATTGCCTGGTAATAGCTAAAGGTGGGTTGGCTTAATCTCCCTCTCTCTTTTTCTTGGATATGAAGTGAGAATATTTGTAGACAGTTCCTAACTCCCCTTGGCTGCCGATCAGACATTGCGATGGCAGGAGCTGCTACCTGGGGCGAGAGACTGCGCGGGATTCATAGCGTCGATTTCATTGTCTGGACGGACCTTATTTATCCTTCCGAATCCATTCAGCTTTAGAGGGCTGTTCCTGACGGAATTGGCCCCCGGGATGGCACCAGGAGCTCCAGGAACTGAATGCCAGAGACGTGATTTTCTGGGTTTTGTTTTTTGTTTTTTTGTTTGTTTGTTTTTTGTTCGAGGAAAGATCCAAGACTACTCACAAGAGATTTTATGCAACGTAACTAGAGGAACCGGGGCTGGGATTGGGGGGCGCATTGCAGAAGGGGAAGGGAAGGAACCTCGGGAATTTGCTCCAATCGGTGCCTGCCTGCCCGGGTTGTGTTTTTGGGGGCGGTGGAATATTTCAAAGTAAGTGATCTGAGCTCTTCTATTTTCACGAATGTAGAAAGCTGAATCATGCTTTGATTCCAAGCAAACCTGATGCACACAGACCTTTTTTTTTTATTTGCTGAAAAAAAAAAAAAAAGGAATTAGTATATCAGCTTTCTTCAGAAGAAACGGCTGAAACGCTCTAATTGAAAATGGGAAAACGAGTAATGAACCATGCAGGAGAGGAGAGCATTTTTTGTCCATAGAATGCTGCAGTTTCTGGATTATTATTGGAGAGTTCAGAAAAGCTGAGCCTGGGAAACATTCTCTCTTCTGTAAGTTATACAAAGGCACAAGGGCTTTGTCTTCTTCTGTCTTCCTAAGAAATACCTGAATCTGAAGAGCTCTCCTCCCCCATGCATCGCTTCTCACATTTTCTGATCAGAGTTGATCCTGCTCAATGGGCATGTTCCTAATTACCTAGTAAGAAAGGAGCAGAATCTCCTGCAATAAACTGAAGAAAGGCTAAGGTTTTAGTGTTCCTGGGTGCATATTAATCCTACCTTCACCACGTTTTTCTGAGTGAATCAACTATGGTTGCTTTTTTGCTCAGGAAGGGCATAGATTTAGAAATGGTTTGCTGAATTTCAGCTAATTGTACTAAACAAACGGAATAGAAACATCTAAGATATTTGTAAATGTTAAGAAAAAAGGGAAGTGGGTGTATTCTTGTCCTGAATAATCTTTGTAATGTTTTTGTCATATATACATTCTTCTGACAGATATAGTGCTTAGCAAAATATAATCAAGAATTCAGTCTGATGCTTAGTGAATGAGTATGTGTGAACAATGTGTATGTGTGAACAGTGTGGTAGAGTTTGAGTTCTGGATAAGCACCTGGATGATCAAAAAACAACATAGTACCAGTAACCAAATCGACTCTATGTCAGGTAAGGTGCTTCTGATCAATTCCCCTCTAGAGTTATAGAGACATAAGATTTGTTAAATATATATAAAGAAATTAATTTTGCCGGAATCAGGTGTTGCTGCCTTCACTATCCTGGTGCCCATCTGATGTCTTGGTGCCCACATAAGCCCCGTTCAGAAGAACCAGGCTGTTTAGCAACAGTTGGGATTAGAGTCCAGGAGATCAGGAAGGAACCAGTTTAGGTGGGGAAGTAATGACGCACTCATGTCAAGTTTGACTCTGGGTGACTTAATAGATACATCCAGGCAGTGTTCTTATCACTATCTTCTACTAGCAGGTTACAGTAAGGCTTTCCTAAAGACACTACACTTGCAACACATATCTCCAAGTTAGCATATAGGACCCCAGGTTCAATACCCCAAGTTGATTCAGCAGTATACACATTAATAAATAAAGTCAAGAAGGAATTAGATATGCAAAAATAGCTACCTCTCTCTATCTCTATGAATGCCTTATGAAACTCACTCTCTGTGGGTCAATGGATGGATGAAACTTTGGCCATTTTTTTGCCAAATTGAAGTCTGAGTCCTTGAAGTGTTATTAAGTGAAATTGGCATGTAACTGGCACCACCGGAGAGGGCCTTCCATGATTTATGAACTAGTAATGTGTAGGCTGCAAGTGCTGCAGATTTCAGAACATTGATGTATCTCAAACACATGAGAGCAATCAATATTTTCCATATATTTTATATCAGATTATGGGGATTTCATATGACCTAGTGGTCTCCCACATTTAATATTCTAAGAATCATAAAATTGGAAGGTGCCATTTATGCCATCATGTCCAATTTGTACTCAGTGTAGGAATCCAAATTAAAGAATGCCTAACTGATGGCTAATATCTGCTTGAATCATATGCGCTGATCAGAGTCACCTTGCATGAGATGGGCGGCCATATAAATTTGATAAATAAATAAATAAATCCAGTGAAGAGAAACCCACCACCTCTCTGGGTAATTAGTTCCATTGTTAAGCTAATCTTTAAAACATTCAATTGGAATTTGCCTTCCTAAAACTTTAGTTGATTATTTTATTTCCTGCAGCCTGGAAGAATTGGGAACAGGTCTTGGCATTCTGTGTGCCATTCTTTCAGCTTCAGGTATTTGAAGAAGGCTATCATACCCATTCAGTCTTCCCTCAAGGTTAAACCTCCTTCTTCAATTTTGGTTCACTAGGCTTGGTTTCTCATCCCCTGTTCATCACTCTTGCCCTTCTGTGAACCTGACCCAGTTTCCCTGAATCTTTCTTAAAGTGTGATGAAGCTAACCAAGGTAGCATAAAGTATATTCAATTATTCAAGAGGCCTCTCCAAATAGTATTACAAAGACAGGTATCTCTATCTTATATCTGTGCATTTGATTTTTGTTTCCTTAGTGACAACTAGATGGACCAGTTGTCAAACATCTGGCAAGATCACACATCATGGCTAGGGGATGAATTTGGTTTGATGAATCACAAATTTGGCAGGCCTAGTATACCGCAAAGTAGAACAAAAAAGGTCAAAGTATACATGATACTAATGGGATGAATTTAATTAAGAGGCACATAAAAAAAAATCAGACAATTCTGAGCAACCAAGGTAGATAGAATATTTAATTATTTCTCTTCTTGCCGTTATCTTTATGGAAATTGCTTTCTGAAGCTGCACCAAAGGGATCTTCTCTTAAACCACAAATAGGAGCTTTCAAGATTTGATTCTTTGAGATCAGGACAAAAGCAACAAAAATTATCTGTCCCCAAAGTTCCACTGTCCTAAACTTCCTCAGGCTTTCTGGACTGCTTTTTACGTAGCAAAAAATGTGTGGGTCTAATTTGGCTTTGGGCAAAGTATTAGGCGGCAATTTAGAGTGCAATATAGTCTGAAGAGTTGTAATTACTTCTTTGTTCCTCAAATAGGAATGAATGAATCTGTCAGTATCAATTTTGCTAAGCTTCTCTCTCTTTTAAATTGTTAAGTATTAGGCTATTTCTTTACCAGTCTGATATTAAAGAAGATCTGGACCAAAAACTTTATCCAATTTTAGCACACACTTTCTCCTAATAAATATATTTTTCCTGCTATATTTTTTAGGTGTTTTATTATAGTAAGATTTTTTGTATGCAGTTTTTCTTAACATATATTATTGTATGTGTTTTTTGAATTGCAAACTGCATCACATGATTCAGAAAATTGTAGATTTTAGACCAAAACTGTGTTCTGTTTGTATGTAGTTTTGGGAAGTACAAATCAGAGAAGTTTGCATTACTGTACAGTGTGAACCAAACACATTTCTCTTATTTCCCTATATCCAGCTGAAAACTCTTGTATAGAATTACAGGATGGGAAAGATGAACAAGCAAACCAAAAATGAAAATCTAATAAAAATGTTTATCTAGCCAGTTTTGCTTTATAGATAAACAAAGACAAAAACAACAAACAAACAAAAAGATGCAGGGAAAAACATAAAAAGCACCTCCACTAATGTGTTTGAAGAGTATGTAAATTCACAATAAGAAAGTATGCATTTCTTCTGTTATAAGAATAGAATTATATCTGGCGTTCATTCAAATAATTTCTTGGTCTGGATTTTCTCAGATGCTGACTTGGAAGACAAACATTCATTCTCATCAGTACATTCAAACAACCATTCAAGGTAAGAAAAGTCTGTAGCACATATTTTAAACACTAAGTTTTGAACAACCAAGTACAAAATTGGTACCAGCATTGCTCTAAGAGAGAAGAGAAGTTCCACCCAGGAGATGAAATATGGCAAGTTTTTCTTTCACTTAATGTTGTATATACATATGCTAGAAGCCCATAGTCCTTAATAAATTGCATTTCTATTGCAATCAACTTCAGTACCCCTCCCATACTATATTTTCCCTAAAAGCACAATACAGTAGAAAAATGGATAGCAAATACTGGTCTACAATGCAAATAGGAATATCAGTACTGGATTCCCCTTGCACAGTTGGCAGAATTTACAGGCTTTCAAGTATTTGCTTTTTGCAACATGTATGTAACAGTAATGGCATTTACTGGCAGTTTAATTTTGTACAACATTTAGAAACTCAGGGTAAAAAAAAAAGTCTTTTAGACCGACTACTGTCCAGTCGCAACTATGTATACTAAAACCCTGAATTTCTGAACTTGATTTTTAGGAAGCAACAAACACTTCTTACCAAAAAAATGGGATGGGGAAAAACATGCTTCAGACAGTATGTCAGGCACTGTTAGGAGTTTTCATTCATTGACAAAAAATGCAGAAATGAAACAGGCTTTTCTTTACAAATTGACAGAAGAGTGACTATATTTTGCTTTATATCTCTTCTTCTAGAAGGACTAAGAAACTAGCTAAAAAAATAAAGAAAAAAAATAAAGCAGGGAACCTAGGATGTATGGTTCATCCAGGAGATGACAAAGGTCCCCCTTGCATTTCTTGGTGGAAGCCCATGATCCTAACAACCTTATTAGTTCTCAATAAAAGTCTTGCTGGCTCAAACCAAAGGCCTTTCTAGCTTTGCATTCTTAATTTCTATAGTGACTAACCAGATGCATATGAAACCACCTAGAAGAGTATGAAACTATTGGCCTCTCCTGAATATGTTCCACAAAACAACAAAACTGTTACTCAAAATCATGCTTCCTCTAATCTCGGAAATACCATTTGATTTTCAGGCACAGTGGTCATGGAATAGTGGTGTGCCATTGCAACTATTTTTGGGTTGGATAGGGAGACCTTACTCACTCATGTCTTGGTTGGATTACTGTAATGTACTCTACATGAAGCTGCCCTTGAAGAACATCCAGAAGCTAAAGCTGATATAGAATATCATGGCCCAGGCAACTAATAAGAAACAGAAATTGTTTTTTTTTATAAGGTTGACATTGAAGGTCTGAATATTCAAGCACTGTATCTGCTTGTCCCATTTAGAGTTTCTTTTATTTCTTTTGCTTATGTAGCACCATCTCTTTTCTTCGTAGGGCATGTTTGTTTTTCCTCCAATTTGCTCCTGTGTAAATTCTTTGCTTGTTGCTCCATATTTGCTGAAATCAGTCCTCAGTTTACTTTACACCCAACCCTGCAGGGAAAAAAAATGGTTCATATAAAGAAGACACACATTCTTATTCACTGAGGGATCTAACGCAAGGATGATAATCAGTGAGTCTCCAGTTCCTGGAGTTCCTAAACATATAGTTCTCAGCATCCTTCATTGTTGGTTACCTGCCTGGTTGTATATGGAATTGTAGCTCAGCATCAGCTTCTCTCATCCTTCTTTTATGTCAATAAAAGGGATTAATCTTTTCCATGGAATCTTTTTTCTTTTCTTTTTTTCCTAGATGGCTTCCAAGAGACTCAGAAAGAAGATTTTTTTGACAACAGCACTGGTCTTTGCTGGGTTATGTTTTTTGATCAAGTGGACTTCAGTTGGAATATGCCTCTTCTGTCAGACAAAAAGTGAGGACATATTTTTAAAACGAGACAGCGGACATTTTTTGTTGCTACCTCATTTGGATTGCAGTCAGAACCCTCCATTTCTGGTCGCTCTTGTAACTTCCTCTCCTACACAATTAAAGGTTCGGGTAGTGATCCGCAAGACCTGGGGCAAAAAAAAAATAATAGCGAACAAACTAATTGTAACCTATTTTCTTTTGGGAACTACCTTGAATCCTGAAGCCCAGGTTGCTGTGATTAATGAGAGTCTGAAATATGGAGATATTATCCAGAAGAATTTTATAGATGCCTATTATAATTTAACACTAAAGACTATGATGGGCATTGAATGGATTCACAAATTCTGCCCACAGTCTAGCTTTGTAATGAAAACAGACTCAGATGTGTTTGTTAATACTTATTACCTGACTGAACTCCTTCTAAAAAGAAACCAGAATACCAGATTCTTCACTGGCTTTTTAAAACTAAATGAGCATCCAATACGGCAAATGTCCAGTAAGTGGTATGTGAGTAAAAATGAATATCCAAGAAATACATATCCTCCTTTTTGTTCAGGGACTGGCTATGTTTTCTCAACTGATGTTGCTAGTCTGGTGTATAACATTTCTGACAATATCCCCTTTGTTAAGCTGGAGGATGTGTTCATAGGCTTGTGCCTTGCTGAACTCAATATTAAACTGGAAAATCTCAATTCCAAGCAAACCTTCTTCCCTGAAGGGCTTGAATTTTCACCTTGCCGCTTTAAGAAAATTGTGACAAGCCATTTTGTGAGACCTCATGAGCTGCTGATCTATTGGAATGCACTGGAGAGATCAATGGATGAAAAATGCCCCGGTGGCTGAAGCCCTACTGAACTGGGGGCAGATGGTGCTGGTGGGGAAACTGTCAAAATAATCTTCAGCTAGGCCAGCAAAAGGCAAAAATCTTAAATACTCAGATCTTTCCTTAGAAGTTTCTAAGTTCATTTAGCTCAATGTTTCCCAGTGTCTGCAAATGTAGAATGTATGGACTTTTAATTCCCAGAATACTTAGCAATGGCTCTGCTGGCTGGGGAATTTGGGGAATTGAAGTCCACACATCTTAAAGTTGTTGTAGCTGGGAAACACTGATTTAGCTAAAGGGTTCTTGCAATACTGTTTTACACACCAATCCTGTGTAAGAACTAAGTCTTGTTGTATTTAATGGGCTTACTCCCTAATTAAATTGCATAACATTATTATCTTAAATGTGCCTTTAAGGTTGCAGATTGAAAATTTCATTTCCCCTAATAACATTATCCTTTTTCATTTATCAACATTTTGTTGTTGTTTTTATCAAGCACTGGAAAAGAAACTTTTTTCACCACTGTTACTACTAATGTTAACACAAATCCAGGATGCTGTAAAATTCTCATTTATGTTAACTGCATTTGTAGTTTGTTTTAAAATTTAATTTAATATTTATTTTATATAAATAATATTTGAACTTATTAACCGGGTAACCATTCTAAGTTAAGGGTGAAATCCAATGCAGTTTTCCAGTGATGGAAGTTTCTATTAGCAGAATCAGGAAGGGGAAGATACTTCTTTCCCCTTCAGTCTGCCCTCACCCCCCACATATCATCAGACTCCTGTGGAGGATGGGAGAAAATGTTCCAGTAGGAAAAGGTAGCCCAGGCTGCTGCTGGGAGATGAGAAGAGGAGGGAAGCCCATTCTTCCCCCAAAGATTGGGGGAGGGTGAGGTTGGAGCCCAGGGATTGTATCATTGGATATATCAGAGAATGTTGGTTGAGGTACCAGATTTTTGGTTTCACTGTGTTTTTTTTAAATTATTATTATTGTCGTCATTGTGAGCTGCTCAGGATTGTGTTTCATGAGATGGGTGGCCATATAAATCTTTTGAATAAATAAATGAATATGGAGAAACATAAGTAAAAGCAAAGAGAATTTTAATTTTTTAAAAAATGTCCCAGCCACCTGGGACAATTGAAACAGTGCATTTAGAATTCAGATGCTAAAGTTCTCCAGTCATTGCACATAATTGAACGTTTCTGTTGATTCCAATGAGATGCTAAATAAATTACATTGTTAACTGGCAAACATTCAATTTCTTTTCAATTTTCATCCAATGAAGTACTGTAATGTCTAGTTTATTAAAACAAAACAAAATGCATGGCTGAAAATTACATACTTGTAACTTCCACCAAACTTACTTCCAAATGGCACTTGGATAGAATTAGAGTGCAGATATCTGCAAAGAAATCCAATGTACAAAATATTTCTTTGTTTAAGTGGGCCAGTCTGTTTACTGAAACAAAGAAGGAAGTTTATGTGGATCAGAATGGCCTTGAACATTCTCAGACATGTAAGTAGTTGCTATTAACATGTTTCAGCATTGGCTTTCAAGCTGATTTGATTTAAAAAGTTCAAGGCAGCCACAAAGTTTTCACCAGCCTGGTGCCATCCAGAGTCAATGCTGATTTATAGGAACTAAAGTCCAAAGCCTCCATGTTAGTGGGAAATGTAATAAATATTTTAAGAAGCTCTATATTTTAAAAGGTTTGATGTGGCTCTTGACCATACCTTGTTGCAGGCATCTAGGTCATATTTCTAAGAACTCATGAAGAAGAAACTTTAATTTTAACAACAGGTAACTGTATTCTAAGAGCACAAGGATTGACTAGCCATAAAATTTTTGGATATGTAAAGTAAACTAACAGTTTGAGTAGAAGGGCTATATTTATAATGTTTATACAAATAAAAACATCATTTGCAAATATTAATGTCAGAAGCTGATATCACATTGTTTTTGAAAAACATACATTCTATTATGTAAACATAGAAGCTGTAATGTTCAAGGTATTATATTAAATAAAATGCTTTTTCTATTGCTGGATGTTTCTGTGTGTTACTTTGGGCTGCTTATTTTTTTTCCTTGAGCATTCAATTAATGCTTTGTATTGCATGTTCCTTTTGACATCCAACCATTTACATTAATGCTATGTTTTTTATAGCATTCTCAGCCTCATTATAAAATTCTTGAAAACCACTAATGATGTACCTGGGTCTTAAATATGGTGCCTAGGGCAGGGAGTGACAGCAGATGCCTCAATCTAATTTTATTTTTAAGATTTTTTTAATTAAAAGAAAGAAAGTAATTATGCTTTATTACTACATCTCCATCCTAGTATGTTTCAAGGAAAATATCTTTTTCAGGAGATTATAAATGATAGAAATGACATATTTATAATTCATACATCAAAATTCTAACTACAAATACAATAAAACCCACATAAATAGTATACAATATTAACCATTGTGAAACAGTGTGGTCTGTACCTAAATACATGGAATACTGTAAAGAATAATTCAAAGGAATATATGGTAAAATGTTAGAAGCTATTAAGAAAAGAAAAAAAATATTAACAAATTAAAATAAAATTATGCCAAAATATGTCAGTGGGCAGAGAACAATGAATTATACTTTAAAAAAATAAAAAGCAATAATACATATCACAACTAAACTTTTGTACCATTGTTCCCAATTGCACAAAGTATGCAAACACACAACTCTGGGCTAAAGTTAAAAAGTACATTTCACTTGCTAAAATTAATCATTAAGAAAAACCAATAATCAAAAAAGATAGTTCAGTGGTTCCTGTAAAGATGACATTCAAAGTATGACTATACTCCAACTTTTAATTATAGTTTAAAAAGTCCATTAATTATGGGGGGGGGGACAGGTGGAGCACATGCATGTTTATTAGAAACTTGCATGTTTAAGAACATTCAAAGCCTTAATTCTGTAAATAATAGTGTACTTAAAAACTTGAACACCAAACATGAAATACTGAAAATGAACGCATAATTTAAGACTCAATAACACTCTATTCACAAAAGCACAGAATGACAAATTTATTACAATAAAGAAGTGAAACGAAGACTCTCACTGAGATTTTTAGGGGGCAAAGATTTTAATCTTACAGTCCATCTAGTTTGTATGCAGTTACAAAGGAGCACCTCGTCTGTACGTTTGTGTTCTAAAGCCCCAGAAGAAAAATCCAAAATGGTACCTTGCTGCTATAGCTAATGGGACTTTTGTATTCTTATGTCTGATATTATTCCATAAATGTTCATCAACTCTCTAACTTTTCTGGTGTTTTTACCTACATAAAATAAATGACATGGGCACTTAATAACATGGATTACTAATGTTAAATCATATATAATGTAATGAAAAAGATATGTCCTATTAACTGCAGGGTTAATCAATTCTTTAAGTAGGGTAGTGATAATAAACACAAGGAAAATGACCTTGTGCGGGATACATCCTGAAACAGAAATGGGGAGGGAAGTATCACTTTTATCAAGCTTACTGGAGATATTCTTTACTCAACTAAAATCTATCATAGGTTTAATTTCAACTCTATAACTAAAAAATAACCTCAGTGAACCTTGTGGCTATATGATTAAATGTAAAGTGCAGATTACTTTATTGCAAATATCAGACATAGATTTCTTTTTTAATAATAGTTCTCATTATTGACTATCATGTCTGGTACTGTTGTACAGCAGACAAAAAGTACCCTCTAGATAGTAAATTCCTTTGTAATTTGTTGGATTCTGCCCCAAAGTCATGCCCTTAGGCAAAGTAGAAAAGAGAGCCAGTTTGGTGTAGTGGTTAAGGCATAGGCTAGAAACTAGGAGACTGTGAGTTCTAGTCCTGCCTTAGGCAAGAAGCCAGCTGGGTGACCTTGGGCCAGTCATCCTCTCTCAGCCCTAGGAAGGAGGCAAGGGCAAACCACTTTTGAAATCTTGCCAAGAAAACTGCAGGGACTTTTCCAGGCAGTCACCAGGAGTCAACACTGACTCGAAGACACACACACATACATACAAGCAAAGTATTACAGCCACTCTCAAAGCAGACCTCATTCCAAAGGACAGATCCCACGACAGAAAAGGCACACTTTCTGGGTCACATAAGATGGCACTGTTTAATCAAAAGGACCCAGAGCACATCAACTGTCCCCCCATACCAAGGTAGGCAGAAACCATGGGAGAAACCATGGGAGATAGGAGATTCCTCAAGTAACCTGGCTGTATCCTATGTAGGTAATAACCAGTACCTTGAATTGCACCTGGAACACACCAGTAACTGGTTCAGCTTATGAAGGAGAGGTGTCATGTGGTCATACTGAGGCATGCCCATCACTGCCTGCACCTCTGCATTCTGGACCAGTTGGATCTTCCAAGTGGTCTTCAAGGGCAGCCCCATATAGATTGCATTGCAGTAATTGAGCTGTGAGGTGACTCAGGCATGAGTGACTGTCTGAAGGCTTCTCGATCCAGAAAGGGGCATAACTGATGCAGTAGATAGAGCTGAGCAAAAGCCTTCTGGCCACAGATGCCACCTGCTCTTCAAGGAGCAGCTGTGAGTCCAAGAAGACCTCTAGACTGACATCACTCTTGCATGGAGAAGTGCTGTCCCATCCAAGGTTAGAGATGGAAAATCCCCAGGAACCACTGAATTATCTGTGTTTATTGTTTGAGTTGTTTTTAACTGGTTTTGTAGAATGTTTTTAGCTGTTGGTTTTATTGTATGTGACCCAGAGTCACTTCGTGTGAGACAGGCAACCATATAAATTTGACAGACAGACAGACAGACAGACAGACAGACAGACAGACAGACAGATAGACAGACAGATAGATAGATAGATAGATAAGGAAGCATACTGGTCAGTCTTTCCATTAAATTGAGGGAGACAATTCAAAGGCTTGGAGTGAGCACATTTCTTCAATCTAGGATTTTAGGCCTGGAGTAGTAATTTCTTTCCAACCAAACAAAATTATCTTTTTAGCTATTCTTTGAGCTCAATACGTCCAAAGATTTTCAGAAATCAGTGAATTTCAAATTTTTAGTATATAATTCAACATTATGTTATCATCTTTAATTCTTATTTCTCATCTCCAACTCATACTAAGAATAATGTGAACATTAGACCAATGATAGATAGATAGATAGATAGATAGATAGATAGATAGATAGATAGATATGCTCAAATTGTACAGTATAT